GAGTTAGGGTGCAGAGAGCCAATGCCTCATCAATCTTCAAACGCTTCGCCCTCGTTAAGACTGGATTACCAGCAGGAAGGGGCGTGACAAGTTTTGCATACTTGGTCTCAAGAGCAGGCAGACAAAGGAAACCCATTGGTGGAGTCTCCGTCTCCGTACTGAGAAAAGGCGTTCAGGTAAGACCAACGCCCCTTCTCTTAATCCCTCACTCCTATCTCACCCGGCAGTAGCCATTTACTTACCTGCTAGGAAAGAGGAAAGGAAGAAAGGAGGACAAGGAAGAAGGAACTCTTGCATATTCTTCCCAAGACATGCTGCTCTCCCACCATCCCTAACCTATGTCCTCCCCCATATACCTTCCCCAACTCCCAAGGCTTCTCTTGCACACACCCGGGTGCACACACACTTCCTGACCAGTGCCATCCCCTATGCACCTTTCCTGACCCACACCACCTCCCAGGCACCAGTCCTGACCCAAGTGGAACCTCTTATGCACTCCCAAGCACACTCACGCACCCTTTCTGACTTGTGCCACCCCATGTATGCTTTACCCCCACAACCTGCACATATCCAACCCCCTCACCCTTCTTAACCCATGCTATCCCCCACATGCACCCTACACAATCCACATGGCACTTCTCCATATCCACATGCATCCTTCCTGGCCCACATTCCCTCGCAAACCCACACAGCATCTCTTACACATCCCTATACATTTGTTGACCTGCATCTCTGTACATCCAATCCCTCCCTGCCTCCCTCACACAGCAGTTTCTTGTTGGCATCCTCACTTTCTCTCTGCAAACTTTCCACAAGCAACAATAAATGGGGAAACTGGTAGGAATTCAAGTGAGAGAGGGAAGAAAGGAAGAGAAAGGAAAAAAAGATGATTTCCCACAAGGAAAGTCAATGAGGAAGCCAGCAGAAAGTCGGAAGTCGCTTCAGCTCCCACTGCTCTTTTGGTCACCTGCAGTCATTCTGTATCTGTTTAGATAAGGAAATATCTCGAAACGATGACCCCATGGGGCACAGGTTGTCTAGATAGCCTTTAAGCTAGGGTTGAAACTTGGCTCTTGACCTAAACTGCTGTAATAGGCTGGCTCAATTAGCCTGTAAAGGCCAGAGAGTGGTTCTGTGATCTGGACAGCTGAACTCATTTAACTTAGCTAATTTCTCTATTAGACTATCCTTGTCTATCCTAAGCTCTTGTTCCCTCAGTAGCATAGTGATGACTAGCTAGGGTTCCATTTCCTACTTGAGAGAAGACGGGCACAAAATAAGAAAAGTTCTGCTTGCTCAGCATCACTCATTACTTCACCATTATATCTTTACAACAAATCTTCAATCTCTTTGGCTTTCCTTTTTGCTCTAACAAAAGCAAAGAACTTTCTTCGATGTTTTCCATTTTCCTTGCAAACCTCAGCTCATTCTGAGTTGTAGCCTTTCTGACAGAGTCCTTTAGTTTCTGAAAACTACCATACTGTACCTTCTCCTTTGCTTATGTTCCCCTTCTTGTATTTTCTGCATAAAAAAAATGTATGTCTTCTAGGGCTAATTTTAAAGGTCAGAACAGGAGCCACAGGCATCTCGAAGCTCATGGGGGGAGGGGACAACTGCATGAAACTGTCTTTTTCCTCTTCCTAGAATAAGGTTTGGGGAATTTTCTTATTTTTATGGTAAGATGATACAATCAGGTCAGCTTCCACCTAAATGTAATTCAGCTGAGAATGTGGAAGTATTGAAGTAACAGGTATAAATTTTAGAAAGCTAAGCTTGTCTGGGTCTGGAAAAGGGAGAATTTGAGAACCAAATGTGTGGCACCAATGTTTATTCAATTGGGGAAGGGGGCTAATTTAATGCTTTGACTTATCCTGACTTGATCTGTGAGGAGAGCAAATATATGCTTAAATTGCATGTAGCTGTCTCAGATATTTGCCCTAAAAGACAAAAAGGCTACATTTAAGGTACAAAATGATGTTCAGTTATGCCACAATTCTAAGTGTTGCTGAGAATATTAGCTGTAATGTCCCAGTTGTTAGGATATCATGACTAGATTGTTCTATGAAGTGATGCCATTTTTAGAATTTTGATGTAGAAGTTACTCTTAGAATTAATAAAATATTTACTTTAATAGAATATGTAAAATAAATCTGAAACATTTGTCACATAGGCTAAATACACAAAACAGGAAAAATATGCTGCATTTTAAATAAAAAGTTAAGCATTTACTATACAAAACGTATTTGCCTTGAACCATCATCAAAGTGCTATTCTTTCTTATCCAAGAGTGCCCACTTTATAAATATGCACAAAGTCACAAACAATTTACTTCATTGGTTTAACTACCTCAGTTCACCATTTTTCGAATAAGGAAACTATTACTTGATTAGAAACTCAATATAACTTCAGTAGTACTTCTTATCAAGTGTTTCCCCCATCCATGTATTATCCATTTTGTAATATGTAGAGAAACTATATAGATTACTCTTATTTAAAATAAAGATTTCAATTTCAAAGGCATCCAGTTGCTCTTTCCCACAGGTTCCATTATATACATCCATGTCATATATGGTATTGTTTCATGTCCACAATAAAGTAATGTTCATAGGCAAGTGCAAAAGATGATAGCAGGTTGATCTCTATCATCATAATCATGTTCTTGATCTATTCAGGAGGGATTAATATTTAGATTCAACATTATGGCACTCTGGAGAATTTTGTGCTGTTCTACAAATGCCCTAACAAAATTTTTCTTCTGCTGCTGTTTGTCAGGTTTTAGAATTTTTGAAGTCACCAGTGCAAGATAAAGTGAGCAGATCCCTGATAATCAGTATATATATTCTCTTCATTCCCATAATAAAAGAGATGAAATCACTTCATAGTCTAAAGAAAGCAATGGGGCATCTTGAATTGTGTAGGTCACTTTAAAAACACGCACATAAATGTATATGCAAATGAAGTTATCTTCTGCTGAAAATGGATGGGCCACTGTCCTATGAACCATTCTACAAAATTACTTTGACTTTTCAAGTATTGCTTTCTCCAACTCTTACAACTGTAGTTTGCTTGCAGATCTGTCTGGTAGGACTGGTAACACAAAGAATGCCAGTAGGGATTCTTTTTTCCCCATCTTTCTTTCAAGGCAGGAAATTATAGCCTGCATACTTTTTGGTTGGCTCCCAGGTGGTTTCTCTAGGACACATAGAAAGGCTGAATCCTGCAGGCTATGCACTAGCAAACTGCTAGTTTGTCATTAAATACATTCATCACGTCATTCTTCACTAACTGCAATGTTAGAAGGCACACGCTTCATGGAATAATATTGCGGATTTATATACCAATACAGTGTCTTGCATGGAACTTAACAGGCACCCGAAGCCTTTTCTCTTCCACATGTCCAGGCAGCATGCCTACATTCAACAATGACCTTACAATTTCTTGTAATATATGACTTCAGGATAGTGCAAACAAATTGTTCTTTGGCAATGTATGATAAGCTGAAATGCAGAATTAGATTAGCCACTATTTCAGAAGAGCTTGATATAAGATCAGAGAATGCTTTGTTTCTTTCTCTTGTTCCAGACAAAAGATCAAGTCCCTGAGACAAATTCGGGTTATTCTTGGCCAAAGGTATGGTTTTGCAAGACCAGATGATCTGTTGAATCCCTGGAATGGGAGAAAAAGTTAGAAGAAAAGCATTTAAGATGTATAAGTAGGCTTTGCTGAGCCCAAATAGGCTTTTGCTAAGTTTGATACATTAGAATCACCACATTTATATTGCTTTTAAAATTAATAACAAAAAAGAGCAACACACAAAAAAATGATAGTGATATTCAAATAAAAAAATGCATAAAAAATGCTATAACAAAAAAAAATGGAAAAATGTGACAACCCCCCCAAAACAAATAATAAAAGTAACATGTCTTTTATAATAAGTTACAAATCTATATATATATTAGACTAATGAATATTCAAGATGTATACAGTGTATTTCTGATACAGTTATACACTTTCTCACCTATAGTATTCATTGTAAAAGACTCTCGTATTTCATTATACTTGTCCATACATCTGTAGGCAATCTGCCCAATGATGGCTAATGCAATCAGATCTTCAATCAATGGGTTGAAAGATGCCACCTAAGCATCACTACCTAACATTTGTTCTCTACAGTATCTCTTGATACCTGTTCCCACTATGACCCTCTTCCTTATTCACACAACCTATGGAATTTTTCTGCTAAAGCAGCTTGTTGCCTCTATTAATACCCATATCATACCAGTACACAGTGATTAAAAAGGAAGAACATGCTTGCCATCAGAAAAGATGCTTTACCAAATTTATTACTTGTATTTGCAAAGGACGTCAAGTTAAGCCACTATCTGGATTTGGCGTGCTCAGAATTACAGCAAATAAAACAGGCAACAGTTTGAGGAAAGCGTCTGACTTTGAATCCTTGCAGCTTCTTTTTCCTCCAAAGCTGGTCAATACTTGCATTACTGCTTCAGTTATAGCTGAGTTATATACTTCAATGTATTTGGAATCCATTGAATGTAACAATTATACTTAAAGCTAATGACAGTCTAAACATCTGTTTCTGAAATATATTCAGAAAAGACATCTAGAAAGTTGCTCATTGGAAACAATAAAGAAGAAAGTTTATTTATTCATTATAAGGCCATCATACTCACAAATCATGACTTCATAGTTTATTAATTTTACAAAAAAAAACCAATAAAATAAAAAAGTAACAAAACAAATAATAATTACCATAAACACATAGCCAAAACTGGGTATAATATTCTCACAACACAGTCAACTCATTTAACAACCTGGTTAGAATGCCCACTTCTCAAATAATTGCCTATCTTTACTTTCACCATTTCCCTCTCCCTTCATCAGCAGATGCCTATTGTCTTTTCCTAGAAATATAAAACTTGTTTAGTAAATTATTGTCCTTTCAAAGGCCATCAGAATCTTTGTTAGATTGCTTGCGAAGGATTTGTCACTACTTTACAGTGAAAAAATAGTGATCAGTTCAGTTGACTTCAAATGAATATGGTAAACACAGTGAGCCTTGACTTTAGCATATTCTACGAAGGTAGAATACATTATTCTACGAAGTTGTATTCTATGAAGTATCCCATGAGATTCTGATAGAGAAGATAGTAGAATTATGATACTTTTGGTATGAGTTAAATGCTAAAGCTGGCTGAGCAATCATACATGCTAATATCCATTAACTATTCCACATTAAGCCGGAAGGAAGTATTGTCCAGAAGGATCATGACCAGGTAGAACATTGGCAGAAATCAGCAAAATATATTTCAGAAAATACAAATGCAAAGTTCTACCTTTGGGTAAGAAAAATCAAATATATGACTACAAGACGTGAGAGACCATATCAAACAACAATACATACAAAAAGGTACTGGGTGTTTTGGTCAATCATGTGTTAAATATAAGCCCACAGAATTATGTGGTTGCAAAAAAGGGCAATCTTTAGGTTGCATTGACATATGTAGAACATCATGCTCAAGAGAAATCTTAATTCCTTTTATTTTTTTTCTGCATTGGTCAGACTGCATCTAGATAATTGTGTCTAGTTCTGGGCACCACATTTTACAAAATACAGTAATAACAAAGTGTAGGAAAGGGTTCAGAGGAAAGCAATCAACAATGATTCTGAAATGAAAACATTATAAGAAATATATGGAAATTGAGTCTGAAGAAGCTACTTGGATAAGCAGTAACATTTTGAACCAACAAGAAGTTCAGTTGCCATAACTCAATTCCAGACAACTCTACTTGGATGACTGAGAATCTTCATTGACATATTTATAAGGAATAATTGGGGGAGTTCAGTATCTTTGGGCTGGAAAAAACTGTGGAGAGAGACACAACAGCAGTAAACAGAGGCTGCATGGTTAGAGATCTCAGGACTACTGTAGTAGTAGATTTCTGCATAGAACTTGGGGTAAAGCAGATCTCCAAGGCATTCTGTATTCTCTGTTTATGCCCACTGTACAGCAGTGATGCCTATCCTTAAAATGTCACTATTTTTTTTTAAAAAATTACTAACTCAGTTCTCAACAATTATATGTTTATGTAAAATTGATTAAATATTAGGAAACAATTCCTAACAATGGGACCTGTTTTACAGTGGGGTCAACTACCAAAGTTGATGGCTCGCTTTCATTGAATGTGTTCTGGTAAAGCAGTGTCTCCGAACCTTTTCTATACCCCGCATCCCCGGAACAATTCTGATATATTCTTGCACCTCTTACAAAAGTTCATATACACTATAATTTTGAAAACCCAAGTTTTCGCACTCCCTGGAATATCGTCTCGCAACCACAGGGGGTGCGAGCACCCCTGGTTGGGAATCTATGGACAGCTATCTGTTTGAGGTATTTGTTTGGATTTCTGCAGTGAGTAGAGAGTTGAACTCAATGCCTAAGTGGCCCCTTCCAATTCTTGGATTTGAATTCTTTTCACAGTATCATACTGATGATCTGGAGATGATTTACAAATGTCTATATTTCAATAATCTATTAATAGTTGCTAGTTCTCCACTTCTGCCCTGGGTAGGTCACTTCACCATGGCTCTTATCCCTGTTCTAGAAAAATCTGAGTTGGTCAGCTTATTCTTTTTTTTAAGTATGTAATGGACACAATATTAATTTTCACATAGTCTGTACCCCATATCAAAAGTAAACATAGCACTTTTAACATTATATTGCAAATTGCTTCAAGGAAAAATGTTTTGGATAGGAAGTGGAGTAAGAAAACATTTTTAACTGAGACATTTTAATAATATGGAACTTAAATTAACTTCAACCTCTGCTTAGAAGCATGGCTGAAACAATTTAAGTCCAAGCACTTTGAAGTTTGATAAGTGATGTAAAAAGCATGCAGCAATTTAAGTAAAATATAAAAGTGGTATAAAAAGTGTATTGTCAGCAATTTAATTAAGCCACTCTGAATAGTTGATATAATCTACTTTTGGGGAAAGTGTATTTTCCCTGCTAATATCAGGAAACACAACTGACTGATTTAATCCAAAATAATAAAAAATACCCTTGGTTGAAACTTCCCATTTCTTCAGGAATTTGGAATAGTCATGGAAGGGAGATTAGTGCCATTAGTGAGGGATGCTCCTCCTAGTATGATACAATAGAGTCAGACCTCAACAAAAACAATATTTCAAAGAAAAATAGGGTAAGGAAAAAGAGAAAGAGAAACATATTTCTCAATCCTCCAAGGGATGTCCTTCTGAACCTAGGAGGAAATAGAAAGATTTACTTCGCTCTGAAGATCTCTTCTTGAGCAGGGGTCCTCAACTTTGGCAACTTTAAGAGTTGTGGACTTCAACTCCCAGAATTCCTCAGCCAGTCTTAAAGTTGCCAAAGTTGAAGACCCCTGTTCTTGAGCATTCATACAGAAATTCACCCATTTTATTGTGAACAATGGTATATAAGAACTACAATTCCAGGAAGAAATCTCTTTCTTGGGAATAATTTTTCAAATAACTGCAGTCCTTGAAATATTTTGCCAGGTCTTCCCAATCTGGGGCTGCCAGATGGTATAGAATCCTATTCCTGTTATCTTCAACAAACTAAATAGGGGTTGTAATCAAACACATCCTGACGGTAGCATGTTGAACACGACTTATTTGATTAAAATTGGCACACTGTATCTTTATTGTCACAGGATTTTATTACTATTGCTATAACAAATAACTATTTGCTCCTATTTTTTGTCATATTTTTTGGGTTAAAACTTTTATAGGTCAGATTTAAAAAAATTACCAAGTTCGGTGGACCTTCAATATAGATACACATGCATAAGGTATAGATCAAATTTTGAATATAAAGCACTACAATTTGTTGAATTAAAAATTCCATGGATTCAAGCAACATAAACAAATAAAAGATTAAATAAATTGAAGACTTATGACATGCAGTCATCTTTTTCAACATTGCATAGATACCAAATAAGGTGACGGGGGGGAGGGAATGCTGTATAGATATTGTCATGATTCACTCCCATATTGAGATGTACATTTGGCAACTATGCATAACATCATTCAGTTATGGCTTTAGAATGTTCAGGATGATTTTCTGAATTTTACCCCTGGAGATGTTCAGGTTTTTCAAGAAGTGCAAGGATTCTTCGCAAATTCAAAAGAAGCCAATTAGAGGGAGAAGCTAACGATTTCCATATATGCTTTAAAAAGCTTTCCACTTAATGGTGATTTGACCAAACCATGTGATATTTGGAAGGGAACACGAAAAGTCTATGCTCTTCCACCTTGTTGCTTCTTTCAGTTCTTGAAGTTTTGAATAGAGGTATTGGGCAAAATGACAAGATAATGGGCCTTTAAAATGAGAGCTTTGACTGATGATTTAGTTTTGATTTGACCTTCTGAAAGGGATTGAATTTTCAATGAAAAAAACTGATTTTGGTGCACTAGCAGGTTTAAGATCAATAAACAGAAAACAAAGATATTGGTAAAAAAATATAACTACACAGGATCAAGACACTGATGAAGAAATTGGTTTTAAAATTGAGAAAAAGGTAAATATTTGGTTTTATTATGTCTAACAAATTATATGTTTTTTCAAAATAATTATATTGAGGTATGGAATGAAC